CGACACATCCTGATCGCCGACGACAACCGTGCCGTCATCGCCGACTTTGGCGTCCCCCCCCCCCCCCCCCCCGACCTCTCATGCTGTACTACGACCCCGTGTCATCTCAATGCAATAGGCGTCTCGCGCACCATCCTCTCCGACCTCGCCGAGGAGGGGGGCGACGCCGGCCTCACCGTCGGCAGCCCGGGCACGCCCTCCTACACCGCGCCCGAGGTGTGGGGGCAGGGCAAGTACGAGCCGCGCGGTGCGGACGTGTGGGCGCTCGGCGTCACGCTGCACGCGATGGCGTTCGGCACGCTGCCTTTCTTCTCGGTCGACCAGCAGCAGCTCATCGAGATGGTGACGTCGCCCGCCGAATGGGAGTGCGCGCAGCAGAGCGAGGACGCGTCGCTGCTCGACCTGCTGCACGGCGTGCTAACCCTAACCCTAACCCTAACCCTAACCCTAATCCTAACCCTAACCCTAACCCTAACCCTAACCGCTGCTCGATCTGCTGCACGGCGTGCTGCACTCCTCCCGAGATTACCCGAGATTACCCGAGATTACCCGAGATTGCTCGACCTGCTGCACGGCGTGCTCCGCTACCCGTCCGAGGAGTGATCTCGTGCAATCTCGGGTCATCTCGGGTAATCTCGGGTCATCTCGGCCAGGCGTGCTCCGCAAGCGGCCCGAGGAGCGCATGTCGCTCGGCGCCGTCAAGCAGCACGTGCGTGTCCGGCGCGAGCCAACCCGGACCGAGAGCGTGAGCGTGACCCTAGGCGCTGTCAAGCAGCACACGTACGTGCGGCGCGAGCTCGGACGGCGCGCCGACGTCGAGTACGAGCAGATCACTGTGTCAGAGGAGGAGCTGCGCAAGGCCGTCATCACGGGCCACATCGAGAACTTCCGGCGGACGAAGCGCGGCACGCTGCACAAGACGACGCTGCGCGAGGAGTACGAGATGTACACCAAGCTGGCCGACAAGCTCGACTACCTGCCAAAGCTGATCGACGTCAAGGAGACGCTCGGCAAGCGGGTCATGATGGAGATGCAGGACCGGACGCACGGGTCTATATCTCGGCTATATCTCGGCGATATCTCGCCCACAGGTCATCATCGAGATGCAGGATCTGACTCACGGGGTGCAGGGGCCGTGCCTGATGGACCTCAAGATGGGGCAGCGAACCTTCATGGAGGAGGACGCCACCGACGACAAGATTCGGCCCGACCTGCTCGAAAAGATGCTCAAGGCGCGAGATTGAGCCGAGATCTCGACCCGCCGACTCGCCGGGAGCCTTTTGTGGCCGCGTCCTCGCCGTCCTCGCCGTCTTCTCACGCCGCCGCCCGCAGCCCGCCGCCCGCCGCCCGTCGCAGGTGCAGCTCGACGCGGCGACCGACGAGGAGCGGCGCGCCGGCGGCATCTCAAAGATGCGCTACCTGCAGTTCCGCGAGACCACCTCCTCGACGAGCACGCTTGGCTTCCGGGTCCGCGCCGCCCGCGGGAAGGCTGGTGTGTGTGGCGGCCAGCGTGGAAGACGGCTGCTCGCCCTTCGGCAGGTGGACGCGATCCGACTCGCCGACGGCGTCGACGCGAACTGCCCCGACGCGCAAGCGCTCAAGAAGATCACCACCGAGGAGCGCGTCGGGGAGGCGGTGCTGCAGTACGTGCAAGGGCGGCTGGTCCTGCTGCAGTCCTTCCTCAAGAGCCTGCTCCAGCTGCGCACCGCCCTCGAGGCGTGCGATGCCTTTTTGACGCACGCCTTCATCCGCACCTCGCTGCTGCTCATCTACTCGGACGCGACGAACAACACCTCGCTCCACATGATCGACCTCTCGCGCGCGTACCCCGCCGGCTGCCGCCTCTCCCACCGCGCGGCGTGGGAGGCGGGCAACCACGAGGACGGCTACCTCACCGGCCTCGACAACCTGATTCGCATCCTCGAGCGGCTCGTGCATCGACGGGCGCAGCAGCAGGCCGCGCAGCTACGCGACTCCGCCCCGCCGCCGCGGCTCGGCCCCGCCGCCGCTGGGTCGTCGGGGTCGCTGCCTCCGCCTCCCATGTGGTCAAACCGGCCCCGCCCTCGCAACGCCTCGTCGGCAGCGTCCTCTGCCGCAGGGTCCTCGTCAGTGCACACGCCCGGCCCCGGCGAGCCCGGCGGCCCTCCGCCCCCCCTCTGGTCAAACCGGCCTCGGTAACTCCCGGTCCTCGCTGTAATCCTCGCGCGCCGTTCGAGGCGAGCTCCCCTTTGCGCGGTCTTTCGAGTCTCGTGGCTCTTCATTTCCTCGTAGTCGAGCCTTCTCTTCTCTCGCGTTGTCTCTCGTTTCCACATTCCAGCCGCAGCCCCCCCCGGCACACGGCGCGCCGCGGGGACACGCACCTTACTCTCCTCGCAGTCCTCGCCCCGCCCCCACAGCCAGTCAGCCACACCCGCACCCCCGCCCGGCGGATTTTTTGTAAATTCTGGAGCCACAACGCGGCACACGAAGTACCCACAAGTCTGAAGTCTCTCACATGACATGTCACATCTTCCGACCCATCCGAGAAAGATCCATTTCCATATCTGTACGAGCCTTTAGGTATTAGGACAGTGCACACGTTGTCAGTGCTTTTAGCTTTATGTAGATTAATGACGGATAAGAACGACAGCCCGGCGAAACCGGAGCGGCACATCGCACATCAGTCGTCGTCCATGGCGCCAAACTCATCCGAATCCTCCTCCGACTCGCCCCCATCCTCCTGCAGCCAACGCGGGGCGAGCTCAGATCAGCACTGCCGGAAGGGGGGTGGGCGGGGGGCACGCTGGAGAGGGCGGTCGCTGCCTCGTCGTCGGCGGCGATGAAGTCGTCCATCTCGCCGGTCGCCGCCGCCCGCCTCTCCTCGGCGTCCCAGGCGCGCTCCTCGTCGTCGTCGTCGCTCTCGTCCGCCTCCGCCTCGTCGTCGTCGCGGTAGAGCCGCGGCCGCTTGCGTCTGCCGCCGCCGCCGCCGCCGCTCGAGCCTCCGCCGCGCGCCTTTGAGCGCTGGTTCTTGAAGCGGCGCTTGATCGCGCCCAGGTTGCCCTCCTCCTCCTCGTCCGCCTCGAGAAAGCTCGCCGAGAGGGTCGGGCCGGAGGAGGAGTACTCGCCGACCGAGCGGCGGTGAGAGGACTGCCGCAGGTCCAGGCGGCGCTTCTCCTCCCACTGCTTCTCCCTCTTCTGCTTCTCCAGTTCCGGCGCCTCCGTCGTCGCCGTCATGATGATCGAGCGACCGCCCTTGCTGCTCTTGCCCTCCCAGCTCTTGGCAATGTGCTTGGTGAGCGCGCGGTGCGTGCTCGAGTCGATCGACACGGGCTGGAAGAGCATGCGCTGCTCCATCGTGCCGTGGCACTCGAGGTTCGAGCCCTTGTGCCGCGTGTAGAGGTGCGTCCCGCCTACTTGAGCAGCCGCTACTTCAGCAGCCGCTACTTGAGCAGCCCCTCGTGCGGACTCGCGCCCTCCCGTGTCCATGTCCATGTGGCGTTTGGGTGTGGGCGTGTGGGTGTGGGTGGGGGAAGAGGCGAGGCGCGCACCGCCGGGCAGCCGCTGCTTCGGCGCGGAGAGGACCTGGTGGGGAGGTGGCGGGTTGACGCCTCGTGTGGCGGGTGGTCGCGGCCCCTCCCTCCCTCCATACCTAAAAAGCCCCGCAACGCTCGACGATTGCTAATGCGCTCAGAAAGGCCGAGCGCGCGGGCCGGCTACACCCGTCTCAGGACGAGGAGCCCGGCGAGGCGCCCGATCTGGATGGGCCTCCGTGTCGGGGTTGGTGCGCCACCGGATGACGTTCTCCCCGCGCACCTGCAGCGGGCATCGCGGGTCACCTCTCGCCCCCCCACCGCCCCTCTCTCCCGCTCTCTCCCCTCTCCCTCACCTCGTAGCGCGGATCTCCGTCGCCGTCCACTTGGAACGGATCGCCGAGCTCCTTCTCGAGGCACTCCGGATTGTCCGACTCGAACGGACGCGGCTGGACCTTGAGGATGTTTGGCATCCGCACCTGCGGCCAACACCGCCCTCAGCGTGTGCCCCGCAGCGGCGGCGGAGCGCGGGCGGCAGCGGCACGCACCATAAGCAGCTCGCTCCCGGCGGGCGGGCGGCGCAGCGCGGGCAGCTCGTAGTGCAGCGGCGGCGCCGACGGCACCTGCGGCGCCGACGCCGCCTGCCCTCCGTCCTCGTCGTCATCGCCGTCGCTCCCAAACAGGTCGGCCTCGTCGACGCCCTCCCCCGCGTCGTCCCCGCCGCCGCCGCCGCTGGGAGGCGCCGGCTCGTCGTCCGAACCCTCCGAGTCGGAGCCGAAGAGCTCGAGCATCTTGGCCTTGTCCATGACGGCTCGAGCAAGCGGGGCTGGGCTCTGGCTACCACCGTCACCGACGAGAGCTGTGCCGGCCCGCCGCGTTTTCTTTTTCTCGCCACAATTTGCAGCCCCAACCGACCCCCCCGCCCCCCGCACGTCACCAACTCACCATCAGCATCACCCATCAGTTGACATCAGTCCCAGTAGGTGCCGCGCCACGCACGCTTCGCCCCCCCCGCATGCGCGCGACCGCGAGCTGCTCATCGGTGGGGATCACGCAGCGCCGGTCGGGCCGTGCCTCTGTCAGGTCAGCCCATATAGATTCTAGGAGTGAGCTTGCGAATCCTCGCGCGAGACGCTGACGTCCCGTCCTCGCGGTGCTGGCCGCTCCCCACACGTGGATCGCGGCCGAAGACCAGCTGCCGGCATCGAGCGGCGGCGGCGGCGGCGGCGGCGGCGCTCCCCGTCGGCCGCCGAGAAGAGCTCCTCCGGGAGCGCAAACTGGCGCAGCAGTTCCCTCGCCCGCACCGAGTGGCCGACGGCGTCAAACGCGCCCGTGGCATCGGTGCCGGCGGCGTCGGACAGGTACTCGGGCCCGCCGGGGTGGTCGTCGAGGTACGTGGTCACGTCGTAGTACTGATCGCCCAGCTGCAGCACGACGTGGCCCCGCTCCGCAGCCAGCGCCGGCCACGACCTTCGAAAGGCGTAGTAAAAGGCGCGCCAGCCGGCGTCGGCCGCCGCGGCGCGAGGGGGCTCGCCACCAAAGAGGCGCGCCAGCAGCGGCGCGTACCGCGCGCGGAAGAGGTCCTCCCAGAGGCTCTGGTCGCACGCGACGGAGCGGAGGAGCGTGCACGCGGGCGCGACGCCCGCGACGAGGTCGGCCGCCGCGCAGTGCGAAACGATGCGCGAGAGCGCGTCGTGCGGCAGGTCGAGGAGCGAGACGCAGCCGGCACTCTCGTCGTCCATTCCCGTCACCGCCAGAGCTGCGTCGAGTCTTTCTCTCCGCAGCTTCTTCCGCGCACACAGACGAGAAAAAGAAAGTTCCGCCCCGCGCGGCGACGGCGATTGCGAGCTGAACGGCTGCCGAAGGTGCGACTGAGCCTGCCGCGCTCGATCTGGGAGGTGGGAGCCACTCACTCGGCGCCAGGTCGAGCGGCGGTCGGCTCGGCCACTGCGGGTGCGACGCATGATAGTAGTTAGTAGATAGAGCATGCTGGGCGCCGCATCATGTACACCGCTCCACGCCAAGGCGCGGGGCGGCGGTGCCCGCCGGCGCTCGCGGCCGGCTTCGGTGCTCGGGCGCGCTCACCATTGTGGTCGTTCAGGGCTGAGGGAGGGTGGGTGTAGAGGATGTAGAGTGTAGAGCGCTGTTAGAGCTGTGGAGATGTAGAGCGCTCTGGAGCGCTGTAGAGCTGTAGAGCTCTACATCCGCCGCGTGACGATGTGAGTGCGTTGTAGAGCGATGTAGAGCGCGATTTTGCTGTAGAGTTTGTTGTAGAGGCTCTACAGCCAACCCGCCGGGAAGGCAGTGACTCAAAGAGGTCGAGTCGCACTATTGGGGTGTCTCCGAGCTTACTGGAGCTCTGATGGACGGCCCTGACTATCCCTGACACACAGAGAGTCACTCTGACGGCACACAACACCCTATAACTGCGTCATTACCAGCCTGCCATGCGTCGCCGGTGCCGCATTCGTCGCTGTGCTTCTTTAGCAGGCGGTGGACTGTCGGCTGCGAGGACGGTCGCATTTGCGCGAGGCGAGGCGAGCATTCAGACGCGTTGCATGCGCCATGCCTCGCGCCAGCGCGTGCGGGAGCTCCTGGCTGAGCGTTGAGTCCAGGCGAGTTGCGCTGGCCACTATCGTTACGCCAAGCCGAGCTGACGCGCCGAGGCGCCGGCCAGTCGCAGCCGTGAGGCATGCCACAGCAGCAGAGGCACCTGCCACCCATTGGGCGGGCAGACAGAAGGCCATTGGCGGGCGGGCACGCGGGACATGCACAGGCGCCAAGGGGCGCAGCGCCGACAATCACGGCGGTGATTGCGGCGCAGGTGGGGGGACGGGAAGTCCGTCGGCGTTGCCGGGGGCCCAAGGAAGCGCGAGGGAAAAAATCCGCCGCTGAGGGCGCTCGTGCGGCAATAGCCGGGTGGAGGGGGGAGCGTGCCGGACGGGGCGTCGTCGCGCCGTCCGATGGTCTGCTGCCCCGCGCAGCAACCGTCGGGCGACGACCCGGGGGCCAAAAACCCGGCGACGACGGCGCTCTGGATGGGGCGTGACCTTCTGCCTCCAACCTCCTTCCTTTTTGAGCAGGTGTGACGCCGCGCGAGCGACGCTCCGAGATCGCCCGAGATAGCGCGGCGCGGCGGTGGGTGAGGTGGGGTGGGGTGGAGTGGCGTGGCGTGGAGCTCCGGGATTGCGCGAGATAGCGCGAGATCGCCCGAGATCGCGCGGCGCGGCCCCGAGATCGCCCGAGATCGCGCGAGATCGCCCGAGATCGCGCGGCGCGGCCCGGGGCGGGGTGGATGGGTTGGGAGCGAGGGGGCGGAAGTGTTCAGTGCGGTAGATGGCGAGCTCGAGGCGCGTGAGCCGGACCTGTGAGCCGGACCACCCCCTCTTGTTATCTGCGTTGTTGAGCCAGGACTCAACATACTCGGGCTCGTAATCCCAAACTGTCACTCCCCTTTCTCCCGGCCGGGGTGGGGCGCGCGCGGGGGCGGCGGGTGTGCGGCGGGTGTGAGGGATGTCTGTGAGCCCGAGAGCGATATGCCATGTCCGCCTTGCGTTGTTTCATAACATCGAAGGCTAAGCTCAAAAAAAACAAAAACATGTCGCCTGCTGGACGCGGCAGTAAGGAGCTTGCCCGAAGGAAAGGGCGGGCGCCGCTTCCATGCTCGAGGGCCTCCGAGAGGGCTTCACCACGTTGATGTCGCCTCCGCCTGAGGCCACCGCCTCGGACCGGCTCTTCCAGGCCTTTGCCGTGGACCAGACCAAGAAGTTTGGCGAGGGCGGCTACGGCGCGACCTTTGCTGCGCACGCCGTCGCGACAAAGCAGCCGCTGGCGGTCAAGATCATCGACACGCGCCGGATGCGGCTCGAGGCGATCCGGCGCGAGTGCCACATGCTGGAGCAGCTCGACCACCCCAACGTCATCAAGGTGCTCGGCCACGGCACCGGCAGGGCGTCGACCGGGCAGCAGCACCTCTACTTCATCTTTATGGAGTGCGCGAGCGGCGGCGAGCTCTTCGACCAGGTGATCGACCGCGGCGCCAACGCGATGCCCGAGGAGGTCGCGCGCGGCTTCATGCGCGGCCTGCTCGCCGGCGTGCAGCACTGCCACGAGCGCGGCATCGCTCACCGCGACCTCAAGCTCGAGAACGTCCTCCTCACGCGGGAGGGGACGGTCAAGGTGATCGACTTCGGGCTGTCGCACCAGTACCAGCGCGGCGCCGACGGCGCCTTCGACCGCTCCGCCCCCCTCACCGACATGTGCGGCTCAAAGTCGTACGCCGCGCCCGAGGTGCTGAGCGGGCGCGGGTACGACGGCTTCGCGGCCGACGTGTGGAGCCTGGGCGTATCGCTCTTCGCGATGCTGTCGGGCTTCTTCCCGCTCGACGAGGCGACGAGCAAGGACTGGCGCTACACCAAGATGGCCGAGGGCCAGCGGCGCGGCAAGTCGACCACCGCCCTCGTGTACGGCTGGTACAAGCGCTCGACGGCACACTTGAGTGGCGAGGTGGTGGCGCTGCTCGACTCGCTGCTGGCCATCGACCCGGCGAAGCGGTGCACGCTGCCGGAGGTGCTCAAGCACCCGTGGATGGTCGGCGCGCAGCCGATGCAGCTCGGCGGGCCCGCCAAGCAGCCCTGGCTGCTCGAGGCGAACCAGGGCAGCTACAATGCGCACGAGCTCGTCGGCGCGGACGCGGAGGGCCCGGTCTGGAGGTCGGCCATCGTGACGGGGCCAGGGGTGCAGGACCTGCTCGACTATGACGACGACGCGATGGACGAGTGCCTGCCCGTCTACCGCTCGCTCGGCCTCTCGCCCACACAGCCGCTGCCCATGCCCGCGCTCGGCCGCCAAAAGGCCATGTCGCGCCTCGACGCCTAGTGCCCCTCTCGGGCCCGTACTCTTGTTGTCTCATGCGTGTGCCGCCGGAGCGTGGCTCGGCCAGCCCCCCCCCCCCCCCCCCTGGTCGCCCCACGCCCAACCGCCACCGCGCACATCTGTCATCTCCCAGCCGGGTTGAGAGAGCCACCTTTTGAGAGCCCCCCGCCCCCCCGCCGAGGACGGGCGGCCGCGCGCGTGCAGCGTACGTGAGAAAGCATAAGTGTTCGTCAAACTCCGGTAATTTAATTGTACGATCTGTGTGATGCAAAAAATACGCATGAATGTATGCGGCGCGGGGCGCACGGCCATCGGTCGGCCGACCCGCGATACACGGAGAACACGCCGCACAGGTCCGCGCAGTCCGCAGAGGCCAGAGAGGCCAGAGCGACGCGAGAGCGCGGAGCACCCACGGGGGCTGCGGCAGCCTGCGGGTGCGACGCTCGCCCCCGCACCGGCCACCGCGCCTCCGCCTCCGCCGCTCCGCGCGCCGAGACCCGCCCCCGCGCCCGCGGACCCCAGCGCCGCTGATCTCTTTTGTCCTGCTTCCAGCCGCGGCGGCGGCTGCCGCCACGCCCACTAGTCTATTGATGCCGTGTGGTCGGCAGCATGGCGCGGGCAGCGACGCCCACCTCCCTGAACACGATGTCCATCGTCTGCTTGTGGCTCATCAGCTTCATGTGCTGCTCGCCCGCGACGGTGAGGTGCACGTGCCGCCTCCGCCCGCCAACCCTCTCCTCGGCGGACGGCAGCGCCGCCACCTCCTTCCACCGCCTCACCATCGCGTCGGGCCAGACGGTGTCGGCGTCGGAGCCCACCGACACGAGCGGGCACGCCACGAGCGGAGCACCAGCTGCGTGCGGCGTGTCCGCGTGGAATCCGACCGCCGCGTCCGCCTGCCCAAGCGCATCCGCAGCCTCTCCCGGAGGGTCGGGCAGCGGCGAGGAGAGGGAGCCACCCCCCGCCGGCGCGGCGCCGAGGAGCACGCCGCAGCGGAAGAGGGTGGAGGACCGCTCGCGCATCGGCTTCGGGATGGCTGCCGCCGCCGGCCCCTGGAAGCGGAGCATGCCCTCGGCGTCGGAGCGCACAATCATGTCGGCCGTGGCGCGGCTGAGCGTGGCCGCGTGCGCCGCGCCGCGCCCGGCAACGCAGAGGCAGAGCAGGTTGGTCGCGCCTCTCCTCGCCGCCTCGACCGCTACCCCGTACAGGAGCAGGGCGCCGAAGCTGAAGCCGTACAGCGCAAACGGCGCCTCGCCCGCCGCGGCGAGGATCTCGTCCGCCAGCCTGCCGACGAGGCCTTCTCGCTCGCCCGCGAGGTCCTCCTCGTCGAGGCCAGTCTCGACTGGGAGGGCGCAGGAAGGGAGCGGCTCGTCGCTCCGGAATCCGTGGCCAGGCAGGTCGCATAGCCGCACCTCGAGCCACGCCGGCGCCGACCGGATCCACGGCTCGAGCGACATTGCGACATCCGCCACGCCGTAGAGGCAAAACAGCCTGACCCGCGCGTCGGGCCGAGGCACGAAGCACTTGGACCTCGCCTGCGCGCCCTTCTCCTCGCCCGGCATGGACGGCGCCGACGTGTGAAGGCCCGGCAGCGCGGCGCTCAATAACTCGGCGAGGCGGCCGTCCTCCCAGCCGCCATCGCGAATGCCGTGGGCCGAGAGCGGCCCGTCCGGATCGGGCGCCTCGCCGGGCTCCTCGTCCTGAGACGGCTGTAGCCGGCCCGCGCGCTCGGCCTTGCTGAGCGCATTCGCAATCGTCGAGCGCTGCGGCGCCTTTCCGACTCCGGCGCCGCGCAGGGCTTCGAGGAGTGCCGGTCTGCCGTCGGCAGCCGTGGCCCGGAGCGAGCGCAGCGTCTGGCCCGAGACACACAGGTGGTCGAGCCGGCACTCGGCGAGGAGCTCAGTCAGCGTCGCAAGAGTCGAATCCGGCATGTTGAGGGATATTATAGCGCGTGGCCGAGCGAGCCGATGAGCGGCAAATGCGCGGACCACCCGCGCGCCTACAGGGTTCGGGCTCCAAGCTGGCGAGGTACTTTAGGTCGCGAAGGCTCGCCCCAGCATCTCGGGTTGACTCGGCCAGACTAAACCCCCGAGAGGCGTGGGAGTACCTCGCCAGGCTCCTAGCCGGATAGGGCGTCTGGCTGTTGAGGAGGGGAGACGTGGTACGTGGAGGGAGGGAGAAGAGGAGGGGAAGGGGCCCGAAAGGGCCTCGCAATAGGTAGGTACCCTCTACTGAGCACTGGGATAGGCGGGGGTCGATTCCGCATGCGACATGGTACGGGTACCCCTCGACGATTCTTCCCCGTTTCCCCCCTCCCTGTGACGAAATCTTTTCTCTCTCTAAATAAATAAATAAATAAAACGGACACCTCTACTAGGAGATGGGTAAAATGGAACAGGTCCCCGCCCTGCGGTCTTTGTGCAGGGTTCTTTGTGGGTGTGGTCGGCGACTAGCCGGGGTCGTCCTCCCGATGCGCGATGGGGGACTAGCACTAGCCGTCTTCCACATGGTCCCTCGGGTCCCTGCTGCTCCTAATCTCGTCGTACATCCTCCTGCTGATCTCAGCAACATCCTGCTCCCTCCCTCGTCTCGCCCTGCGCGTCTGCTCCGCCTCCCCGTCGTCTGCCCTGCGTCGTCTGGTGACGGGTCCTCCATAGTCGGTCGAGGTCGCCGCCCTCCTCGTGCCTCTTCCCAACGTTTCCTCGGCGGCCGATGCCGTCTGCTCCGACTCCGCTCCCTAAGTCGAAGGAGCATCATCAGTCTCACCCACTTCGCTCGCTGCCCACCGTCTCCGCTCCCTCCCGCTTGAGCTGCCGTCGGGGCCCTCGTTCGTCCCACTGGCTGCTGGCCTGTCTGCACGTTACCTCCGTTATCCCTCCTCCTCCGCGACTCCCTCAAGGCCGGCCGAGCCTCCTTCCACCCAGTGAAGAGCTTCCTCAGCCACTCGATGTGTTCCTCTCTCTTCATTATGCGCGCCGTAGCCTCATCATTGAGCTGGATCCACCTCTGCACCGCTCCCGTCGCCGCCTCGGCCACGACTTGCAGGTTCCTCGTGACCCCGGCGCCAAGGTCCCTCCGGCTCTTCTCCGAGAGATCATCTACCAGCGCCGGCAATTTTCTCTCTCTCGAAATCTTTGCGCTCTCCTTTCATTCAGAAAGCCTTTCTACATACATAGATAGTCGTTGATACCCCCTACTAGCTACATCTCACCATTTTCGCTTGTTCGCTGCCTGTTGGCCTGTGCCGCACACGGCAGACGAGCAGGAAAAGGTTTTGTGTGCCGCAGACCAAGAGAGAGGTCCGTATATGAGTTATATGGCTCACCGCGTGTAGTCGCAAGTCGACCGGACGGCCCGAACCCTGGCATCAAAAAACGAAAAACACGGAAACCACAAGCGCGCTTCCTTTTAAATTACCTTTTGCATTTTGGACATGCACGACGACCTGCAAGTCTAACACTAACTCACGCCGGCCGGAACCCCAGGTCGGCGCCGGTCCGCGGGGCGAAGGGCTGCAGGTCCGCGAGGGCGGAGAGGAGCTGCCACCAGTAGCACGCCACCGAGCCGGTGTGCAGGTGCTCCCGCGCGAACGCCTGCGCGCGGCGGCCAATCTCCTCCGCCTCGCGCGCGTTTGCGTTAGCCCACCTGTACTTTTCGTCGAGGTCGGCGAGGCTGCGGTCGACTGGGACGTAGTGGCGCCACGGCCGGAGCAGCGGGTAAAAGTGCTCGCTCGAGAAGGAGTCCTGCTTGAAGATGGTTGCACCGAGGTGCATCTCCGACGCGAGCCTACTTCCGCCGGCTCGCCGAGATCTACCGAGGTGTGCACCGAGATATACCAATCGATCTCTCGACGCGAGCCGGCTCGAGGCCACGTTGCCGTCGACGTGGAGCAGGTAGCGGTAGCCGCAGTTGGCGGCGAAGGGCTCGATCTTGCGCTTTGGCCCGCGCGCCCGCATCTCCTTCTCCATCTCCGCGTCCCACCCCCACTCGTGCTTGTTCAGCTTCGGCGAGTCGCAATGGTCGTACGTGCCTTCAAATTCATCACCAGTCAATCAGCTCATTCTCAATCAGCTGGCTCGTCGCAGTGGTCGTGCGTGCCGGCGTCGACGGCGCCGGGGCGGGAGGCCGTGTGGATGTTGGCGCGCTTGCGCGGGTAAAACTGCCAGATGGGCCCGCGCCAGCCGCGGGTCGGCCCGTTGCAGCCGCCGCGGAAGTAGAGGAGCGGCTTGCGGCTCGCGTAGGGCTTCGGGCAGCCGCCGGAGCGCAGCTTGCTGAACGGCTGCGGCCAGCGGTGCGCCTTGTCGTCCCAGGACCAGGGCGCGGGCATGGCGATGTCGCGGTGGGCCACGTCGACGTAGTGGGCGAGGACGGGGAGGGGATGCTGCCGCGGCACCTGTGGAAGGGGGAGGGGGTGTGTCGCCTCTCGTGCGAGGAGCGGGCAGTCCTGTCGGGCGGGGTCGCCTTCGGGTGGCCCCAGAGGTGCTAACCCAACCCCTAGCCCCGACCCGAGGTCGCCTTCGGGTGGTCCCAGAGGTGCGCCACGAACTCGACGTCGGGGAGCCGGACGAGCCTCGCCACTGTGCGCAGCATGTCGAGCACGAGCGTGAGCCGGTAGTCCGAGTTGGCGCGGTAGTAGAGCCTGCCCTCTCTGACGCTCACGTGCAACCCAGGCAGCGCGTGCCGGCGGCCGGCGGGGTACATGTGCGGCGAGAAGGCGAGGTCGAGAACGGAGGCCGTGAGTTCGCCCTCCGCCCACGGGGCGAGCGCAGCGGCAACCACCGGCCCCCACAGCGTCGCGTTGTACCTCCACCCCGCCGGACTGTCCGCCGCCCCGGCCCCAATCGGGCAGGCCACCTCGCCTCGCCGTGCTCGCGCTCGCGGCGGGCGCTGCTTTGGCCGCGCGAAGGGCGGCCGGGCGCCGCCCCACGACGCCTCCGTCGGCATCGCCGCGTGCGCCAGCCGCACGAGCCGGCCAGTGCTGAGCGAGCGGAGCTGGAACCAGCCGGCGCCGCCCTCGCCCGCCGGCAGGAGCTGGAAGCGGCAGCTGTCGCGAGGGCACCCTCGCGCGGCTGCGAGGAGGCCGTCGGCGCCGGCCTGCAGGGTCAGCGGCTCCTTGGACGTTCCCTGGGCCACGAACTGGAAGCTCGCCGCAGGCGGCGGGACGCAGCCGCCCGCGCCCGAGGAGGCATCCGAGGAAGCGGCAGCGCGGCTCCGCAGCGTGTGGAAGGCCGCCAGCTCCGGCGAGGGCACAAGCTCGGTCGAGTCGCTCGGCGGTGCGCCGACGTTCTGCGGCGAGCCGTTGGAGTGACCGCGCACGCTGCCAGCCGAACGCAGGTTGACGCACCCTCCGGAGAGCCGGTTCACGAGGTGGCCACGCGAGAGCGACGCGTTGGCGCCCCAGGAGGGCTGGAACCGAAAGTGCGTCGCCCACCCGCCGCTAGCGTCGGCCACAAAAGTCCAGTCTGCAGCCGGCAGAGCGGGCGAGGCGGGCGGCGGCGGCGGAGGCGGGCAGAAGCGTGGCATCGATCGACTTTACCATGAAAAGAATTCACAGTGGCGCTGCCCACTATGCCCGCTCGTAGGACAGTGATCGCCGCAAACCCTGTGGTCAGCTCCATACGGATATTTTTTGTAGGCACCGTAACACCAAAAAACTACTATGTCTTCGAGTGAAAAGTAATCCGAGCAAGCACGCGGCCGCAGTGAAGGCGGTTTTCGAGGGGAATCTGGAGAATCTGTCTGGGAATCGGCTCACCACGGACCCCCACCTCCTCGAAAAACTTTTCACTCCAAGACATACTAGTTTTTTAAGGTGCTCTACAACCTAGGCACAAAAGATATGGCATTGCAGGCCATTTAGGGCCCCTTTTAGGAGCGGCCGCACTCTGCTCGCTACCCCCCCCTGCACAACTAAGCTCATGGCCGACCCCCCCCCCAGCAGGAGCGCTCTGCTGCTGGGGGGGTCGGGACCCCCCCCCCCAGCAGGAGCGCTCTGCTGCTGGGGGGGTCGGGACCCCCCCCCCAGCAGGAGCGCTCTGCTGCTGGGGGGGTCGGGACCCCCCCCCCCAGCAGGAGCGCTCTGCTGCTGGGGGGTGCTGGCATCTCTGTACAGACAGCAGCTGTAAGTAGCATGCGTTCCAGTGGCGAGAATTTATAGTCGGCATCAAAATCAGTGGTCTCACCGGCGGGCCCTCCTACTGCCAACCGGGAGGTGCGGGGCACGCCAGCCTCTCTTCTACGCCTCTCGTGCCTCGCGGCTCCTCTGCTTCTCGCAGCCCATCGTACGCCGTGGCAGACGGCTCAGCTTGATGACAGATTAGTCGATCGATTTGCGACGAGCGAGCGATAAGGGGATCGAGCGGGGGACCGATAGGCTAGGGAGATCAACGCTGATCGATCAACGTCAGCCGAGACGCCCGAGTGAGTCTATCTTGTTCTACCACATGGATGAACAACTCTCTCTCACAATGGTCACAAGTCTTTAGTAAAACGCCAGCACTCGACACGACGAAGGTGTATTGGGCTCGAAGGCGCGGCGAACACAACCGCCTCGAGCGTACGAGTACCGCTTAAACACGAACCGAGGGCGGAGAGGGGGGGGCGGCGGCGAGGAGGCGGGAGAGCTGGGTCCAGTGCGCTCTGCTGCTGGGGGGGTCGGGACCCCCCCCCAGCAGGAGCGCTCTGCTGCTGGGGGGGTCGGGACCCCCCCCCAGCAGGAGCGCTCTGCTGCTGGGGGGGGTCAGACCCCCCCCCTAGCAGCAGGGATGAGCTTAGTTGTGCAGGGGGGGTAGCGAGCAGAGTGCGGCCGCTCTAGACGATCACTGTACACACTGAGTAGGCCGAAATCCCCACTGGGCCGTCGACCCTCTAAAAAACGCAACACTGTGCTCTGCGTGGCGTAATCCTCTCTCATATATGGCTAAATATTTACCGAGCCGTTTTAAAGTTCCACACCGCTACGACTGGAGATATATCGAGATTCGCTCTCACGGCGGCTTTTGTGTTTTGAACCAGAGAGGGTAAACCGCTGGCACGACCACACAGGAAAAAAGACGCGCCAGTCCCACCGCCTGATATACCATCTATCGGCGCCGCTCCGCCAGCGACCGACATTTGGCCAAAGCGAGTCAGCGCTTGCGCGCAGCAGAGCTCCCCTCGCGTGGCGGGCAGCGATGCCGTGCCCTCGTCGGCAGAGCTGGCGCGCCGCCCGCGACCGCGAGGAAGAGCAGCGCGGCGACGTGCCGCCACGGCAGCCGCGCGTCGACGGCGACGAACGAGGCTGTGGTCGCCGCCCTCCACTTTCGCTTCCACCGCGAGATGCCCGCCGTGTTGTAGAGCCAGCCGCCCCTCTCGTGCAGCAGCCGGAACAGCGCCTCGAGCGCGGCGCTCCACTGCACGCCTCTTGCCTGAAGGCCACTTGCCGGCGCGCACCCCGAGGCGCCCGCGCACGCCTCCCGCCGCCGCAAGGCCAGCGGGCTCTCTCCTGCGTGGCGCGGGGGGCGTTGGCGGCGAGTCCGCCGGGCGGCCTGTGCTCCGGCAGGCAACTCTCACCGAGCGCGAGGGTCAGGGGGCGGCGGTGTGCGGCGGCGACGAGCGCGGCGCCCTCGACGGCAAGCAGCGAGGCGACGCCACCCACCTCCGGGTCCCACCGTACGCCGCTCAGCCCGACGCCGCAGAGGACGCCCTCGCAGTAGCGGTGGTCGAGGCACGCCCAGCCCACTACGCGGCCGCGGCGGCGAGCGCAGACGCGCCTGTTCGCAGCGGCCAGGGAGGTGGGCGGTGGTGCCGTCGGCGTGCGAGCGGTGCGAGCGCAAGTCACAACGTGGTGTGCGGCTCGACCCGTCGGCGCGCGTACCGGCGAGTCACGCGGCGGATGGAAAAGGGCCGCGTCGCGAGGGCGCGCGACGAGAGCCACCGTGCGTCCAGATCCTCGAGCTCTCTCCAGATCGGAGAGGTCGCTTCGGCGGCGGGGAGAGGCGTGACCGCCACGCCAGCCTTGCGCGCCTTGTCGACCTGGCGCCGGAGCCCTCGCATCGCGCTGCCAGACAGAGCGACCGGCACCGGCACCTCGTGGTCGACTCCGTACCCAACGATCCGAAACCCTCGCTCCGCAACGACCGCCACGGTCTGTTGCGAGGCCTTCCAGAAGCCGACGTGGTGGCCGCGGGCCGAGGTCAGGAACTCGTCGATCAGCGCTGCGAGGTCCTCCTCCGCGCAGAGAGGGTCGTAGAAAACTATTCTCGTCCTGAGGAACCTGCAAGTCGCGTGGGCGACGACGCCTCGGCCGGAGACGAAGCGCTCGAGGTCTGGATCGAAGGCGACCGAGAAGGCGTTGGCGCGGTGGCCGTGCTGCAGGTAGAAGAGCTCGACGGCGCGATGAGGCAGCAGCGGAGTGGGCGACAGCTGTACGACGAGACGAGGTGCCCTCGCAGTGTCTACGGCGAAAGAATTCTCGGTGCTCTGGTCACCGGAAAACCCAAATATTTCAACAAAGAATTCGACGCGGTAGGCGAGCGCAACCCGGCCGGAACATGGTTGAGCCGGGCGCCTCCACCGCCGCCGCTGCCGATCCTTCCGACCTCATGTCGCAGCTCGACGCGCTCGAGCACGCCGCGCCGCTGAGCGCCGAGGATGATTTGATCCTGCGCATGGAGGCCGTGTCGAAGGTGCGCGCCAAGGCGGCGCGGCGCGAGACGCGGCAGCCAAAGCAGGGCATCGCCAAGAAGAGGAAGCAGCCTCGACGAGGGACGAAGCCTTCACATGGACAGAGAGACTGTGTGGGCCCGGTGTAGATGCTCTGACGCTCTGGCCTCTCCTCGTCGGGGTGTGGGCGCGGTGTGCTTCTGGTCGCGACCCCGGGCGTCACTAGACAAAAGCGCGGTCAGAGTTCCCTACAGTTAGACACCGTCGAGCACACGCAGGTCCGACTAAGTCCGCGGGCCCTAAGCTAATCAGCAACTATCACTGTTTTCTCGACGACACAACAGCGCATTCGCGCTCCAATATGCAATAAAGTCCAATGGCATTACTGTGCGGCTCTTCAGGCCCATACCCCGCTAGTGAGGTAGGGGGCACCGTTCCGCTCTCTTGCAAAAGCGCACGTGGTGATCGGCGGGGGGCGGCGGGGGGGCGCGCGCCGCCGCAGCGCCGGGGCGGGGGACCGAGGCTACTACACGTTGTTGTCGTCGAACGGAGGGGGCACTGCCGGAAGCCGAGGCTCGGGCGCCGTGCTGTCGGGCCCGAGCACGGGCGGCGCGTTGAGCACCGACCCCTCCATCGACGCCGCATCGTTCGCGAGCAGCCCCTGCGCCGCGGCGCGGCGCTGCTCCGCCGACGACGCGGCCATCGGGTTGGCCGCTGCCGGCGGCGGCTGCTGCTGCTGGCGCTGCTGCTGAAAGCTGGCGAGTCCAGCGAGCGCGCTGAAGGTCTCCTCCTGGGACCCGCCCGGGGCGGCGGGCGCGACCAGAGGCGCGACGCCCGCAGCCCCGTGGCAGGCGCCGAGGCTCATCGAGGCGGGCAAGCCGCCCGGCGGGGGAGGGCCGCCCGCTCCCGGCCCCGCTCCAGGCGCGGGCGCCGGCCGCGCGCGGGGGCGCGCCATGCGCGCCATCGATCCCGCGCCGCGCGCGCGCTCCCCGAAGAAGTCGAAGTAGGACTGCAGGTCGACCTCAAAGTGGCGCGCGAGGCCGAGCAGCAGGACCACGACGAGGGCGACGAGCGAGAAGGCGAAGCAGAGCGGGCCCGCCCACTCGGGCACGAAGGGGTGCACGTGCGGCGCCTCGACCTCCTTCCACAGCCTCGCCGCCGCCCCGCACACGTCGCACACCTCGAACCTCACGCCATCGTCGAGTGTGAAGCACCATGGACCCTGTGGCGCATGGCCGGGGTCGACCGCGGCGCCGGCCGCTGTGGTGGGCGGCTCGACGTTGCGGCAGTAGTCCGCGACGTACGGCGTGTCGCGGCCCAGGCCGATTGGCTTCTCCGTGTGCCACTTGTGCGGATGCTGCCGGTGCCACGGCTGGCACCGCAGGCCCGAGGCGGTCGTCGAGACGGAGCCGCGGAAGCGGGACCCACCCTCGCCCCACCGCTCCGCGAGGCAACTGTAGTCGAGCGGCGGTGGAGCCGGCCCAGACGGCGGGGACGCTGCGGCAACTAGCAGTGACATCAGCGGCCCAAAGAAGAATTAAACTCTTCAGACATGTGCAAACTGGCGCGAGCTAGAGAAAGAAAGAAAGAAAACAGATCAGGCAAGGGAGGGATGGGAGGACGGCACGCCGCCACCACACGAGGTGTATTCTTTTTTTTGCTTGGCCGGACGTCATGCTGAAATTCTACGAAACCTGGACGGCCCTTGCCCTGCCCCTACCTACCTACCTACCTACCTACCCTACTTATGGGAAACTAAAAAAGAAATCACCTGATGGGTGAAGGTGGGGTGGTACTATACCAACTGAAGTGATGGTTGGTGGTACTCTCCTGGTCCTGCAACCACAGTCCTTCCTGTGACATGGCAGGCCACTCTCAGGCCCTACAGAGCATCAGATCATCCACTTGGGGAGGGTTGACATCGTGATTTCCGCGGAAAATTTCTTTTTCTGCTGTGAAAATTCCAGCGTGAGAGAGGGAAAAACCCGACGGGAGGGCCCAGACCTACCCTACCTACCCCGGCATGACGTCCGCGCCTACAACATGTACATGTTGTAGCAACAAAAGAATACACCCGACCACACAGGGATTTTAAGGAGAGGAGAGAGAGAGAGATTTTTATTAACCAGGTCTGGCTCTGGGCGGCTACGCTGTTTCTTTTGAGAGGGTTGTGTTGCAAGAATTCTTTGTATAGTGTGGGGGCTGGTGAAAGGAGAGCCTGCCGCCCTCGAGGGAGTCGCTTAGGCGGCTCCATAGTGTTCTGTGTTAGTGCCAGTGCGCGCCAGTCCCGTGCCCAGAAAGAAAGAAAACAGACACCAAAGGAGGGATGGGAGTGCCCACAGTGTCGTGAGAGAGAGAAGATTCAGAAATCTCTCTCTCTCAGAGAGAGGGAGCCGGCTTGTAAAATCCTTTTTTGGCGCGATGAACGCGGGACCGGCGGCCCCAGCTTCGGCTGAGGGCTGACAAGCTGCCGAGCCCAAATCACTGTGTGCGTCGTGATTTCTTGTTGGTTTTCTAAAATCTCTCTCTCTCTGAACGCGTCGGAGCGCCTCTGAGGTTTCAAGAGAGGTTTTAGGTTTGTTGTTGGCCAATCTGAGGACCGTCAGAATTATTGTTTCGAAAGCTCGCCACGTTACGTCGGTCTCTCTTCTTGTCTGCAGCGCCGCCCGGCGAGCCGCTGTATTGCTCTGGCTCTCACCCTCCGGGGCCGCCGCCGCCAAGCCCGCCGCCGCCAAGCCCGCCGCCCCCGTCACCACCGCCGGCTGCGCCCCAAAGCCAAAAAAAATAGCGAATTCGACAAATTTCTTCTTTCGCCCTGCCGACAACTACATCCGCGCACGCTTCGATGCAGGCCGAGGGCAGGCGCGTGCTGCGGCAGATCCTCCGCCGCGTGCCGGGCGCGGACGTGCAGGCGCGGCGTGCTGCGCGGTCGCACCTTCTCTCCATTGTTCGCGGCACGGCAGCGCGAGACGCGGCAACGCTCCCCGCCAGCCGGGCGACGCTCCCCGCGCTCGGAAGCGAGCTTCTCTTCCATCTCGAGTCGCAGGCGGAGCTGCGCCAGCTCAACGAGCGCTACTTTCCGGCGTCCGAGCTGACAGACCGCGAGAAGATTGCGCGGATGGCGAGGATCGTGGGGCTCGAGGCACCGGAGCACGCTGATGCGCGGGATCTCAAGTCGAGCGACCCATGTGACCCCGCGAGATGACTCGCTTTGGACTCGCGCGGCGATCGGTCGTGCTCTGGTGCACATGCGTGCGGTATGTGTTGCGCTCTGCATCGCGGCGTGTGTGGTATGTCGTGGGGCTTCCACGCTCATGGACTGTTGGGCATGGTCCTCGTGCGGCATGTCCATGTGATTGTGAAATTATGTGCTGCGCGCTCAGGCACCGCCCACTGACCATGTTGGCCGGCGGTGGGTGTATGCTGTTGAGCGTGCGGCTGCGCTGGATCGTTTAGCTGAGCTACCATGCACAAGACCCGCACCCGCTCGAGAGCCCCCGCTCTCGGCTCTCGCCTCTCTTCCCCCCGCACCCCGGGGGCGCCTCGGCGCGTGACTCAGTCCCCGCGTGGCGGGGAGTGCGGAGTGTCAGGCGGGGCGGCGAGCGGAGATGGAGAGGGCGGTGCCTCGCTGTTGCGCGAGAGCGGCGGCAGCCACAGTCTCTGAGGTCGAAGGTCGTGGCTTGCGCTCCATAGGATTCGAAGATCGAACAATATGATATTCCAATATGAAAGACTCCCCCCCCCCCCCCCCAAAAAACACAAACGAGTCGAAACGAAAGGACGGCAACGGATAGACCTATATATACGAAACTAATCGGCGGTTATTATTAGCTACGGAGCGCGTGAATGGGCTACCCGTAGTGGGGTAGGCGCATGTACGTAAATTAAGAGGAATGCAGTAAGATCCGACCGAGGGGTGGGACGCGTCCAACAGGGTATTGGTTACCTTGAGCACTTGAGCACTGGATAGGGTCGATTCCGCATGGTACGGGACCCCTCGATCGTCTCGCCCTCCCTCACTGGTGTGTTCATCGGGGGGGGGTCATAACAAACACGGTACAGAGGTAACGGTCCAGCGAGCATCGTCAGATCACAGATGAGAGTGTAGGCCAGATCGACAACCTCGTACGACGATACATTGGGACCATTGTATGTACAATGTTACACCCTCGCCCAAAGATCTACCCTGCCGGCTGCCGCCCTGCCAGGGCGGACTCCACAGATCACAAGTACAACACAGATCACACCAGCCAGCCCCGGCCGCCCCGGCCGCCCTGGCCCCTAACGCCGTAGGCCTAGGCGAGCGCCTACGAGTAGAGGGGCACGACCACGACGCGAGGCGACACACGAAGAGTACTCTAGCCACAAGCGAGAGAGAGCCTCCACCCACACACACACATCGGCACACACAGTCGAGTCCTGAGTCCACCACAAACCATGCCCACAATGCATGATCAAGACTCGCACGTGGAGCTCCAAAATATTTTTCCGGATCCACATCGCATGTCCATGAATCACCCGAAATGCGCCGAATTTGGGACTTGTCGCCCGTCCCCTATCCGCAGATCGGCCGGCCACCCAGCCTGCGGCCGCCTGACGCCTGACACATGCCAAGCCAAGATGGCTTGGCCTCAACTGCCGCAGCGGCACCTCCCTGGGAGGAGGTCTCTACACGCGCCTCCGAAGAGGCGAGCGGCCACCCTGTGACAAGGCGGAAGAGCGTTTCCGCGAGTTGGCTCACTCCTCGGAGGATGCGTGGCCGTCGCCCTAGCCCTGGCAAGGAGGGTGCGATAGACGGGGCAGCACTTGCGAGTGCCGCGTGCGTACAAGTCTCCATCGAGGCTGTTGGTCCCGCCGGAAGCGATGAACGCCCTAGCACAACCGTGAGAGCCTATGTCTGGCAACGGAGGATTGGCCTGTTTCTGCCGACAAAAGTGGACTTGAGCGAGGGAGGCGTGCTCGGTCGACCAGCTACGCTATGCCCTATCCGGCTGCAGTGCGCGACGAGGCAGGGATCAGCGGTGCGGTTTCTCACCGCCGAGCACTTGGAGGAATACATCGCAATGGAGACCAATGTCAAATCTGAAAACTTTCGCTGCTTCTGCTCTGACTGGATATTTTCTACGCACCTGGTCGAGTGCACACTGTGCCGCCACCGAATGCACGTGGAGTGCGCAAACGAGTGGTTTGCTCGGCGAGGCCAACGGAGCTGTCCGTTCTGCCGTCAATCCGACGCCGACGGCACGCTCCTGATTCGGCGAGCCAACAAGCCCGTCGAATTTACAGAGCTCCGTCACGAGACCTGCGCACCCAGGAGAGGCGGGAGAGAGGGCGCGGCGAGAGAAGACGCCTGAGCGTGGGCTGGGCTTCGGCGCGGAGTGGCACACTCTGCTTCTCTATGAGAGCTAGTACGCTAGCGTGTACATAAACACGGACATCGCGTACGCCGTACGGACAGCACGCTAGATCGCGATTTTTTTCGAGGTCAGACCCATTCATGCCTGCACCCTGGCACCACTGTGGACGGTCCATCCTAGGGTCCGTCTGACGTCGGGTAACCGTCGCGGCATAGGTGAGGGTCGGAGGGTAGCATGGCCCCCGCCGCTGAGCGCCCGCCTCCGGCCTCCCGTAGGCGCAGCGAGCAGCGGCAGCAGCTTCGAGCTTGCGCAGCGGCAGTCGTCTCGAGGGCCTCGGCACGCTCCCTCAGCACATCGACAACTGCCAAACTGACCTTCTCCTTGGCCATCTGCAGCGCCGTCTTGCCCTCCTCGTCGCGCAGCGTCATGTCTGCGCCCGCCCGGAGCAGGCGGAGCACGACGGCGGGCTGGTGGTTGCAGTGGGCAGCATTCATCAGCGCGGTGCGGCCCTCGCCGTCCTTAGTGTTAACCTCTGCGCCGGACGGCGCTCATCAGCGCGGTGACGCCGGCCATGTCCCGCTTCTCGACGCTCGCCCCGTAGCACAGCAGCTTCTCTCGATGATGCAGCCGCGGCTGCTGTGCGCAGCCATGAATAGAGCGGTCTTGCCGCAGGCGGTCTGCTGTCCCACCTCCACCCCCGCTGCAGCAGTAACTCGGCCAGCCTTCCGTCGCCCCTGGAGACAGCCGTCATGAGCAGCGTGAAACCGCTCAACGCCGCCGCGCGGCCTGGTGTACGTCGCATTGACCTGCCCGCGGCCGTCGAGCCACTCCAGTTCGACCGCCGGGCCGCCTCGCCACACCACCTCGGGAACGGCGTCGCTGCTCACCGCGCCCCCCTCGCCGCCACCTCCGCCAGCGGCGGCGGCGGCAGCGTCAGCGGCGCCAAGCGAGACCGAAACTAGCGGGTCCGTGAGCGGAGCAACCGGCGCCGCGCACGGCGCGAGGGAGGCCGTGGGGAGGGTGGGCGTGCACAGCGTCGCATCGTCCGAGAGGGAACCGAGACCGAGAGGGCGGGCGGGCGGCAGCAGCGGCGGCGGCGGCGGCGGCGGCGGCGGCGGCGGCGGCGGCGGCGGCGGCGGCATGAGCGAGGTGCTCGCTCCGGCCTTCCCCCCCCCGGCTGTGCGTCCGCACCGAGCATGGCGCTCGCACCCGCCCACTGGACCGTGCTGCACGGCGCGAGGAGCTTCAGCTCGTCCCCAGCGGAAGAGGCTGAGGGCGGGAGCCGCGATCCGGCCAAAGCACAAAGCGGGGCAGCGGCGATCGCGCCTCCGACGAGAGGCAATCCGGGCGGCTGTGCGGCGTGAGACCAAACGGCGGCGCCGCTCTCGTCGAGGCTCGAGGCTACCGGCGTGGGCTTGAAGGGGAACGCACGCCGATAGGCCGCCCGGTCGGGAAGCGCCAAAAGACCTGCCACTCCCTCTGCCACCAAAATCAGACGAGCAGCGAACGATCGCGCTCGCGGTGCACCGGCTCAAACGGCAGGACGCGGGTCCTCCGGCTGCCGCCGCCGCCGCCGCGCGCGCCGCCGCTGTGCCGCGCGCGCCGCCACTGTCGCGCGCTCTGCCGCTGCCTCGCAAGTCGCAACTTGTCGCGGTGGCGCTCGGTGATGCCACACCGCTGACACCCCTCTGTGTGGAAGGGGCCCTCCCGCTCGCGCACCCCCACGTGATGCCGATGCGGTATGGTTCGGCGGATAGGTACTCCGCCCACGCGTGCTGGCCCTCCCACCAGTCGTGCCACTCCTGGTGGCAAAAGAAGCAGAGCGTGAAGAGGTTCGCCGGGTCGAAGGGGTGCCCTCCTTCGGAAATCGGGAGGGCGTGATGCTTCTCGAGCGGGCCGCGGCCGAGAGCCGCGTGTCCGTCTTTGGTGATGCCACACCGGCGGCAGGTGCTGTCCGTGGGGGCTCTGTCGAAAGCGCGCCCGGCCGAAGAACGCATCACATCGCGGCGGAGCGTCTTCCCCTGTGCTCGCAACTCGTCCCACCGCGCCTCCATGTTGCGCTGGAGCCGAGCCTTTCTCTCCTCACGATCCTCATCTCCCCGTCCCCGCTTGTGCCCGGTAGGCGGGCCGGGCGCGTGCATGGCGTTTGGGAAGGGAGACAGGGTTCCGGCTCCAACCCGGTAGGGGGAGCTCGGCGCCCCGAGTGCGGGTGGGTAGGCCCTAAAACGGCGGGAGGGCTAGGGGACGGGTGCCGCTGTAGGGGTGTTGAGGGGTCGGGAGGGCGGGAGTGTGGACCGTGACCTAAAGCCCTCCACCGATAGACGAGGTGTCAGGTGGCAGGGCCCAGGAGGGCACTCGGAGGGGTGGGGACTGGGAGGGCTGGCCAAAAGCGAGGCGTAGGAGGGCTCGTGAGGGCTTGGGAGAGGTGGAGAGCTCGGAGGGGTCGAAGGGGTCGGAGGGCAGACAGGCACGAGGGTGGCGCTGGTGGGCTGGTGAGGGCTCGGGAGGGCTCACAAGGGATGGAGTGCCCGGAGGGCTCGGGGGGCTCGGGGGGCTCGGGGGGCTCGGGGGGCTCGGGGGGCTCGGGGGGCTCGGGGGGCTCGGAGGGCTTGGAGGGCTGGAGGGCTCCAGTAGGGGCTCGGAGGGGTCTGGAGGGCTCGGAAGCTCGAGCCCTCCGAGCCCTCCGAGCCCTCCGAGCCCTCTTGGGGGGCAGTCACATAAGCCGCGAGTTCGTTTTTTTCTCTTTTTGCGACCCCTCCCAGAGGGCCCTTCCGACCCCTCTCGAGCCCTCCCGCCACGAAGATCCTCCCTTGTCCGACCGTCCCTCCGAGCCCACCCGGCGTCCGGGGAGGGGGCTAGCCCTGTGGAGCCCTCCCGACGCCGATCCGACGGGGACCCCTCCAGCCCTGTGGGCTGGCGAGCCCTCCGGTCGGAGGGACAGGGAGGTGGAAGTGGGAGGGCTTGACAAGACGGACCTCTCTCGCTCCGGGAGGGTGGAGGGGTGGAGGGTGGAGGGGTGGAGGGGTGGTTGAGCCCTCTAGCTCTGTCGATATAGCCCCACCCCTCCCGCCGTTTTAGGGCCTACCCACCCGCTATGCGCGCCCCAGAGGCTCTGCGGGGCTCTGGGCCGCAGAGCGCAGACCCCAGTGCCCAGAGGCAGGAGAGCCGCTCTGCCAGAGGGCGCGAGGGCGCGCCCCCCGCAATGCGCGCTCAAAGCGCGATAGAGCGATCAATAGGTAGGGTCCATCGCTCATTCAGCATCCATGCATACATACGTAAAAACTACTACTGACACCAATCCACATCAAAGAGAGGGAGAGAGATGGAGAGAGAGAGCCCCGACACAATCGCGCTTGAGCGCACACAAGAGCTCAGGGAGGCGAGCGCCCCGGGACGCTCGAACCGGGAGCAAAACCGCGTAAACCGGAGCACTGGCGGCGTCACCGAGTCCATTCGCCGAGCTTGGCCTCAAAGCTCGAGCCCCGCGCGCCGAGCATCTTCTTGTACGAACCCACCAGTGACTCAAAACGTGCCTCCTCTCGCGCATCCGCAGAGTTGGCACGGCGCCGCTGGGCGGTTGGCTCGCCAAACGCGTTCTGGGCTTGCCGCTTGCCGCGCCGCAGCACGCTCTCGATCTCGTGGTGCTCCTCGATGCGCTCCCGCCGCTCTGGATTTCCCTTGCTAGTGGGTCGTAGCTTCGCTGCTGCCTTGTCAGCGCCGCGGGTCGTCGCCTCGGACGCCAGCGCGCGGTCCTTGGGCGGCTGCTTCGAGCCCCGCGGCTGGTTCGAGGCCTTGCCCCGCGGCTGCTGCGAAGGCGGCTGCTGCGAGTGCGGCTGCGAGGGCGGCGGCTTCGAGGGCCGCTTGGCTGCTCGCGCCTCTGCTGCCGCCGACGGCTGAGCCCGGCCCTTCCCTTGCGGGGCTGCCTTCGGCTCGGCGCCGGCCGCCGCCGCCGCCGCCGCCGCCTCCGCAGCGCGGCGCTCGGCGCCGAGCTTGCGGCGCTGCTCGTGGAGCTTGAGCTTCTGCACAGAGTCGACGGCAAACTCGACGAGCAAGCGGCGCCCCTTGCCGCCGTGCTTCTCGAGCGCCGCAGGGTTGTCGGCGAGGGCTTCGAGGGCCGCGAGCGCCGCCTCGTGCGTGCCTTGCCGGGGGAGAGGGGAGGAGCAAACGTCGGGGGCGAGGCGTCGCGGGGAGGAGCAACGTGAGGGTGGTGGAGCGCGTGGTGAAAATGGCGGTGGCGCGGGGCGGCGGCGCACCAAACTGGATGAAACCGAACCCCTTGGAGCGGGGCTGGCCGCGAGCGTCGCGCCGCTGCTCGTCGCGCACGATCTTGACCTGCCTCACGAGCCGGTCGCCGTTGCGCTTGGCTGCGTGCCGCGCCTGGCCGCCCGCCTTGCCAGCCGCCGCGCCCGCCGCCGCGCTGACGGCGAGCGAGCTGAGGATCTTCTCGTCGACGTGGGGCGGCAAGTTGCGCACCGACAGGCGCGTGGTCGAGATGACAAAGTTTGGGCTCGCCAGCTTCTCCTTCTTCTGCGCCCACGCCGCCTCGCGCTTTCGCAACTCGGCCAGGGAGAGGGCCTCGGCGCCCTCCTCCCCGGGGAGGACGAGCCCGTGCCGAGCCAAGTGCAGGCCCCGCCGGTCGCCCTCCGGCTTGACCCGCTCTTGCCTGGCGGCCTCGCGCTTGTCGGCGGCCGCCTTGACGGCGTCGCCGCGCTCGACGGCCGAGCTCACCGTCAGAGGGTGGCCGAGCATGCGGGCACCGGAGCCGGCGCGTGCCGCCGCCAGCGCCGCCTGCGCGCTTGCCGACGACTCGAAGCGCACAAAGGCAGTGCCGCGCGAGAGGCCTGTGGAAGGGTCGCAGACGACGCGCGCGTACCTGAAGGGAGCCGCAGAGAGAGGGCGAGGCGGTGGCTGCGCGGAGAGACGCGGCGGAGAGAGGAGGGCGGGGCAAGAGGGGCGGGCCGCGGTGATCAGTCGCCCTGCGCCCCAGCACTGGCAGTGGCTGGAGCTAGGCGAGTCAGCTCAGAGGGGATCTGACGCGGATGGGTTCGAGTGATGGTGGGGTAGCAAGTGTAGGGTGCAGCAAGTGGGGGGTGCAGCAAGTGCGGGGGCAGCAAGTGGGGGGTGCAGCAAGTGCGGGGGCAGCAAGTGCGATGGGGCGGCGGGGCGGCGGGGCCGGCACGACGCACCGCAGTGCGCCGTGCTTTGCAAATCGAGCCTCGAGCTGCGTCTGGCTCGCCTCGATGGGGAGCCCCTGCACGAACAGAGTCGCACGCAGCGCCTCCTCCTCGTCCTCGGGACCCGCCTTCCGCCGCCTTCCCGGCTTGGCCGCCGCCTCGCTCTCCTCCTCGCCGCTCTCCTCCTCCTCGCTTTCTTCGTCGCCGCCCTCCTCTTCGCCGCCCTCCTCCTCGCTCTCCTCGCCGCCCTCCTCCTCCTCGCCGCCCTCCTCCTCCTCGCCGCCCTCCTCCTCGCTCTCCTCTCCAGCCGCTCCGCCTCCGGCATCCTCCGCCTCCTCGCCATCCTCCTCCTCCTCGCTCGCCGCAGTGGACGGAGCCGAGGGCGCGGCGGCGGACGCCGCGCTGTGCTCCTTTTGGTACGCCGTGCGGTTCTGCGCGACGTCCGCCGCGACGATCCGGCCGCACACCTTTTGCTCGTTGAGGGCACTGACGACCGCCTCGCTCGCCTCTGCAGAAGGAACCTCGACAAAGGCGAAGCCCGGATGCTTGCCGTCGGGTCGCTTGGGCATGTGTACGTCGAGAACCTAGCCGGACGGAGGACGGGCTGGGGATCCGAGGTCGGCGAGGGCGAGGCGAGGCTGCATTGGCGGGGCTGGCGCGGCGGGGCTGGCGCGGCGGGGCTGGCGCGGCGGGGCTGGCGCCTGTGCATGCGGCCCGACCGCGGCGCGTAGGGCCGCCGCGTCGCAAGAGAAGGCGAGGTTGCGGATGATCACCCGGTGCCTCTGTCGCGGCTCGCGCGCAGGCTTGGCGCGCTTCGCCTCGCCGCTCGGACCGCCGGCGCCGCGCTTTCCCGGCGCCGGCGCCGCTGCTCCCTGCTCCGGCGCGCCACTCGGAGGGGCGGACGTCGCGCCCTTCTTCTTTGCGAGATCGACAGTGATCTTGCGACCGCCCAGCAGCGAGCCGTTTTGCTCCTGGACAGCGCGCTGTGCGTCGTCAGCCAGCACAAAGCCGACAAAGCCGAAACCGCGGCTCTCTTTGGTCTTGCGGTCGCGCACGACCCACGCCTCGCGCACCGGGCCGACCGAGCCAAAGTGCTGCTCGAGCGCCTGGTCGGTTGTGTCAAAGGCGAGGTTGCGCACAAAGACGGACGACGGAGCCGCCATCGAGGCGGCAGCGCGACGGCGCGAGTCTTCGAGAGTGGGCAGGGTGAGTGTGGCGACGAGGAGTCGTTCGCAAGGGCGGCAGTTTCTTTTTTCATCTCCCTTCGCTAACGAAACGAGTTCTTTCTTTTCTGGTCCTCCCGGGAGTCGGAGCCACCAGCACCACCGCGCACCGGGTGACCTGCGCACGGTGGGCGAGATTACATGGGGGTACGTACAAAAATAACGACCCGAGCGGTACGTGCTCGGCGACCGCGCGCGAACCCCGGCGTCTGCCCTGGTGCCTGGAAGAAAAGAGCAGGCACTGCCGCCCGGCCTCTCCGCTCTGCTCAGCCCCTCTCTCGCAACCGAACAAGGCCGGCCCTAAGCCGCGGCCGGCTTTGGCAAGGGGGGAGGGAAGCAAACGTAGGTGCCTCGTGTGTGTTGCCGCGCGGAAACACAAAGAGGCGAGAGCGCGGAGAGGGCCCTGGCGCAGCCGCGTCGCCAGCCGCGACCACCGCTGAAGCAGCACCGGACCGCACACCTCGGAGTTTTTGGAAGTCATAATCAGCCCAATGATGAGGCCGTACAGGCCCAGCGCCTGTGCGGAGGTTTGAGGCGGGTGGCGGCGTCGGCTGCCCGAACGCAGAGAGCGGGCCAGGCGGCGCCGGGTTGGCGCGGGCGGCGCGGGCGGCGCCGGGTGGCGCGGTAGCCGCGGCGGGCGAGGTGGTGGGGGGCACGGAGGCGGCATGGAGCCGGCGTGACGGGCAGAGGGCTCGGGAGGGAGCGGCCGCCTCTGCGAAGATGAGGATCAGCACCATGCCGACGTACATCTTGCCCTGCTTGGCCACCGCCCGCACGCCCGCGTCGCCCGCGACACCAATCGCCACCCCTGCCGCGAGGCCGCTCATGCCGCAGCACAGGCCGGCGCCCAAGTGCGCAAACCCTGTGAAGAGGCTGTAGCCAACCTGCGGTTTTGTGGGACGGCAGTCGGCCGGGGCCGGGCCGAGGGCTGCGAGGGATTTCGGCGCGCCGCGTTGCCCACGACGCCCACAATCTGGTTGCTAATGATGACGGCGATGATGAGGCCGTAAATGCCGAGCACGCCCGCCATCACAACTGGGATGATGTTCTTCATCACAATCTGTGGCGCCGGCGCAGGGATGTCAGAGACGGAATGTCTCAGAGAGGCTGAGCGCGGCGCGCGCTGCATAGCCCGCCGCGCGCGAGCGCGGAGCGTCTGGCGGCGACGGGCCCGCCACGCGTCTACGGCGGCGGCGCGCAGGCAGAGGCGCGGCGCACGTCTGGCTGCTCGACGCCGATCGTCGAGATGCCCATGGCGGCCTTGCCTGTCCCGTACGCGCTCCCGACGCAGGCCATCACGAGGGCAATCATCGCACCGCCGAAGCCGAGCGCCGGCGCGTATGTGGGGCAGAGGCTCAGCGAATCTGCGCTGCTCATGGTCGGGCGAGCGCAGGCAAAACACACAGCAGCACACAGCAGAGCTGAATGCTGTGAATGTCCCACCCCCAATGTCCCACCCCCCTGCGCGCGGGCCTTCTAGGCCCGCGGGTAGTCTCCCCCCATCCCCAGGGCCTCCAGGGCTCGCACCACCTCAACCTCTCATAGACCAGCGCAAAGCGCCATAGGACGTATTTTCTTGTCAATAACAAGGTCTGTGAATGAATACTCGAGTAAGTAAGTAGGACCGCGCAAGCGGCGTGGCGTGGGGCGGTTGCGCATCCCTCCGGGGGCCCCTCTGCGCCGGGGAGGCGTTGTTGGAGGCTAGGACGCAAGCGTCCGTCGCCCTTTTCAAACTCGGGGCCCACTCCGCTACGGCAGCCTACGCTCCGTCGACCCCCGCGCCCGCCCGAATTTGCTACGGTCAGCCACAGGCGAAGAGATTTTTTTTGCGAAATTGTGGGCACTCTACCCAACGAGAGGACACAAGAAGACAGTGAGCCGCCACAGGCGTCGTTGGCGCACGTGCTGAGTGAGTGGCAGCTGCGCTGAAATAAATAAGGAAGAAGCGCGTTACTTCATGCGGAAGCTTTGACAAACACACGGCGAGGGCGACAGCAAGAGTCGAACCGGAGGCGCCTGAATCAAAGACTTTTGTGGCTTCCCTGGCCGAGGCGGTGTGTGAGCGGCCGGGCAGTCGAGTGGGGTTGTGGGGCGCCCCGTGTCCGCGCGGGGTGGCCAGGCTGTGGCTGGGAGTGGAGCGCGGCGGCTTTTGCACCTCCTGTGGAAGCAGCCGTTCAAGCGAGGCGGACCGTGCGACTCGAGTGTGGACTTGTGTAGCCGCTCCTGCGCGTGGTGGCCAGGTGGGTGGGTGCTCTGGCGGGGTGCAGCGACTCAGGAATTTAGATGGGCGCAGAGGAGCGCGTGCCGAGCGAGACTGCGGGCCGAACGCGTTACGAAAGGAATGCCAGTGCTTTGCCCGGGTTTACGCAAGGGCCCTCCCTGTGGGGGCCCGTGAACATCTTTAGCTTGTGAGCCAGGAAAAGGGTTGCCCCCAATGAACACACCAGTGTGGGAGGGCGAGACGATCGAGGGGTCCCGTACCATGCGGAATCGACCCTATCCAGTGCTCACTCGCTCAAGTGCTCAACGAGCAACGAACTGTGAGTGTGCTAACTATCTTAATTAATTAACGAACGAATACCAAGGATACCCATCACTGAGCCGACGATGCTATGGGTAGCCCCAGGGTGGCGCCCACCCCCATACCCTCAGGCACTTGCCTGCGCCCTGCCCGCGCACGCCGCGCACGCCCGCGCACGCCCGCGCACGCCCGCGCACGCCCGCGCACGCCCGCGCACGTCCGCGCACGTCCGCGCA